ATATGTGTATATATGTATATGTGTGTGTACAGAACACACACACACACACACACTGTCTCTCTCTTTATGTGCGTATATGTCCTTATTCAAAACTACATAATATGCATATATGATATGTACTCGTATATACGCACACTATATTTATGTATGTATGTATGTCTGTCTTCATTCCTTCCCTTCTTTCTTTATTCCTGCCTTCCTTCTTCTATTCTGCCTGTCTTCCTTCCTTTCTTGTCTCCTTCTTTCCTTCCTTCCTTCCTTCCTTGTTCCCTTCCTTGTCCGTTTCCTTCTTTTCTTCCTTCCCTCCTTCTTCTCTGCTCTCCGTCCTTCCTTCCTTCCTTCCTTCCTTCCTTCCTGTTTTCTGCTCTATAGTTCAATTTTTTGATCGACTAGTCTTGTGGATCCAAATATTTTTTTTGATCCCTATCCAACCTTGATTGGACAACAACGTCCTAAAGCTCTCCATCAGAACAGCGCAGCATGAGGAAGCTGAAGCAAGATACAAACCACTCTATTTACCACCAAATAACTCCCGGATCCTCGCTGAAGCATCTTCGGCCACAGCGTCCGAAAGCTCCGGAGACTCCACAGTGGTACAGCAAACTGACTAGATCTTCTTGAAGCCTTACGAGCACTGACTCGTGCTCGTGCCTCAGAACCGTAAAGCACCAAACCGCCAAAATCGCCTGCGACAGAAATGCTGCGCCTGCAGCATTTCGGGTTGCACCCCCCATCAGGCCTACCGTCCTACCCCTTCAGTTAGTTCAAGCTTCAATTCAAGAGAGTGGCCCAATCCTTTCATGGTGAGAAGGGTGGCCCGCTACCTTTAGCATAGGCTTGCTCAATACTTTTCGGGCTCATCTCCTGACTCCTCTGTTGTTCGGGGTGCCCCTCTCCCTGCAATTAGGGCTCATGGTATGTCGTCGCTGGACAATTCAGCGCAGGATGTCCACTCAAAGTAAATCGAGCATTTGTCAAATGCGGTTTTGTGGAGTCTGACGCTTTGGCGAAGCTAAGACATCCACCGCATCCCCCGAGGTCGAGAGCGTTGCCTTGTCTGCATCCTTTTCAACGAAGCAGTCCCTAAACTGGCGAAAGACTGTACTGCCGTTTGCCTCGTGTTTTATCGTCTGGGAACCAATTCTGGGAACCATACCCGCTACTCAGGCTGAAAGCCTCCTGAGATATAGCTTGTCGCTTGATGGACCGAGTGCGCAGGAACGCCGAGTCGAAGCTTTCCGGCTTCAGAAGGTGGGTCTGTGCATCCAGTGTGCTCCTGATCTTCGCCACTTCACTAGCATTCGTGTGGCGAGTCGCGCAGAATCAGAAAGCAAGGGTGCAATCCCCTTTTCACCCGATGCTACTTGCTTGGTCCACACACATGCCGAAATCGAGCTCCCAGGGTTGGACGATGTCCCATCCCGGCTTGGCTGCTGGTCAGTGTCGTGGTGTTCTTTCTCCCCAACATCGGCCAGGCACAAGGAACGACGTTTGCAGCTCCAATGAATGTGTATCTGATGCCATTGGCCCTTCTGCTATTCTTCCTTGGTCAATCTCCCGGGGTGCTGCAAGTCACAGGAGTAGACTGAGGAAGCGATGTCATCGTGCACCTCATTCATTTGTTTCGCTTCGAATTGTGCACCTGAGACGGGGATCCGCCGCAAATCATTGTAGTCCCGGTGGTGAGGTCACCGGAACGGCGATCGCTGAGGGGTGGTGGGTTGTGGGTGATGGGTAGTGGTGGCTTGCACATGTGGCCTATCCCTGAAGGAAAAGACTGGACATGGTTCCGCCTTCTTCATCGTCGTGGCCTCCTCTGGCATCTCGTTGATCCAGCGCGACCCTATCAGTGCCTGTCAGACGATGCACGGAATTTCAACACAGAATGCACAAATCCTGCATATGTCCAACCATGGAAATCATGTCGATTCCAGAACAATGGGCTTTTCTGTCTAGAAAGACTGGACGTGGAAACTTATCGTGTGCTGGATTGTTTGTGCATGCTTACCTGTTCATCGGCAAAACTTCAGGAGAACGGAGCCCCGGACACCCACAGAACAGGGTTTTGGTTATGGCTATGGTTAATCGAAGGTGCTGTAATCGCTGCAAAAAGGACATCCTTCTTTCTACAGTATCTGTGTCATATCTACAATACGAAATGCAAATGCTGCCCGGAAGACAGCAGGCAGCCAAACATGTCGGCATGGCAACGAAACAGTACAACATGCTGCCTCCAGGCCAAAACCCACAAGGAAGGCGAAAAAAGCGAACGCGACCTTCACACATGCATGGGTGCAGGTCTTGAGCCACTGCATTCCTTCACATATGTAATGTTGTGAAAGCAGCAGCCGTTCAGAGGCTGCCACATGAGTGATTCAATCCCGCAGGGCCTTGTAGATCCGATAGCCGAAGAAACTTACTGCCTTGTGCGGAGCAAACTGTTGCATCTGCTTGTTCTCATACCGTTCTCGCACACGTCGGGTGTCAAGTTGCAAGGCCCATGACGCAAATAATGGAGAGGAACACCGTCGCAGATGCATCGCAGACCTTTTCTTTTCTCAAGTCAAGAGTCGCTGGAGTCTCAGCTCTCTCTCCCCCACCTGCTCTTCCAAGGGGAGAAAGATTTCGTGCATTGCCTCGTCGAAAGGCATGTTCACAGGACCTCGTTGGCCAGCTACGGTTGACAAATATTGCGTTGCTGTGCGTTGCGTGTGGTGATGGCACCCAAAAGCTCAGCTCCACGCGAGTTCGCAATGCAGAAGCTTCGCACGACTACTTTGGGCACTATGGCTGCAATCAGGTGTGGTCTGGTACCACTGTCAACCTGCCCTTACGTAAATTATTGTTCACTACCTTTTCAAAAGGCTCGCATTGCGTTCTTCAGGAGAAACCTCGGTGTACGGTATCATTCTGTATCATTTATCAGGTTTGGGGATTTCGGAGAAACAAGCAGGCATGTGTCGTTTCATTCCAGGCAGATTTGTATTAGAGCCGGCTCTTCACCGCAGCCAGGCTTGCATGGTGCGCGAAAGAGCTGCGCCAGCTGAATGCACAATTTGCATGGGGCATCGCGTCGGTCCTACTCTCGCTGGACTTCTCAGCTCCACTGTTGGAACGCAGCTCCCTGTGAGGTTCCATAGGATTCCATAGATTCCAAGGCGAGCACATCTTTTGTTGCGCGTTGCACTTTCCGGTGCTGCGACTGTGGTGTGGAGCTCGAGATACAAAAGGTGATGGGATGCAGGCGGCCCATGAAACGGGGCCGTCTTCCAGCAGGTCCAGATGTCTTTTACATACTTGTAAGCGTATCAGCAACGCACACTGTAAGCTTGGTGACCTGGAAACCGACAAAGCACATGGGGCATGGGGGTGATGTGAACGATGCACAGCAGCGATGTTGCATTTCAATCGCAGATTCTCGCCTTGCTTCATGCCGTGAGGAGATCTACCACCAGCAGCTTGCTTTTCAACATGTCGCATCTTTGGTTGACTCACGTTGCGTGGACCGGCCTTCGGCCATCAAGCAGCCCATACACCTGCTCGACGTGGAAGGATGTTATCAGCTGTTATCAGGAGTTGTCACTCAACCAGAACGATCAGAGACCCAATGCTTGAAACTCCAACATCTTGTATCACATTGTGCTGCGAGGTCACGTGCACTAGGCAACTGTCGGGAGGAAAGTCGCAGCCGATCGCTTTCTCAGCGAGCATCGCAATGAACCTTGGATGCATCTGCACAGAAGGGTCCAGGCGGCCCTTGGAGGAAGGCCATTCAAAAATATTCACAACATGCCGCACATCAAGCGAGTCTGGCAGATCGCCGCAGGCCCAACCAGCAGCAGCCTTGGTTCTCAGCCCGTCCCTCGTGCGCGCATGTCACTTGTGTTTCAGGAAGACGTTTCTAGATTCGGCACTCACCTCGGACAGGCTCGGCGAGTCAAACAGGTTACGAGATTTTCCCTGGTCCGCAAGTAGAGATGCCACGAGACCTGCAATTTCCTGACATCAGCTGTGCCAAGGAACCCTGGCGACATCGCACCCGAGTATATGGTGACTGTGCGAGGGTCTTGATCTGACACCAGTGGGCTCGCTGGCATTTCCCATCCCGGGGGCACTTTGAGCTGCCACCTCGGACCAGTACACAGTCTGGTGGACCGCCCATCTGCTCGCCTTGCACTGCCACTCAGATCTGAAATCATCCTGGATGCATGCCCTGAGAAGCCTCCAAAGACTGCACCCTCCCTCCAGCCCTACGAAAGCCTCGATCCTCATGCGCACAATTGTCAACCACGTCACGTGGATCGTTCGTCACTCACCTGCGTCGGAGCACCCCGCGAATGCCACTACAATGGTACTGGAGGTTGCCTCCAGATTGCTGTCCTTGCGAAGGGTCTTTGTCATTTCAACGGAATCCCTTGATAAGGATCTCAAGGACTCTCGGCCCAACACAAAGCAAATTCTGACATGGCAGCTCTTGTAATGGAGCCTTGGCGGGCAGAGCTTGTTTCGCAGCAGCCTCAGCTTCCAATGCCTGTCGGTTCCAGTATCGCGCCAACTGCTGCTGCTTCCAGGCCTCCTGGAGACAAAGGAATGTTCAACAAGGCCAGGTTAACAGTGCGTGGTCAAATCATGTCCGAGCATTTGGACAACGAGGTGGCCTGGTAGCCGGGAGATGTCAATCAATGTGGATTCAGATTCAAGCTGACTCACGATTTGCTCACGACTTCTTTGGCCTCTGACCATAGCTTGGTCGCTGATCGCACTGGCGACTCTGTAGCACGACCGAGACAGATGAACACAAGCTGCTCTTGCTACTTGCACAGTCTTGCTCACAGCGTCCTGAACGGCTTGGTCTGCTATGATAGCTGCCTGTCTGGCACGGCGCGCCAAGCGGTTCGTGTAGTACTTGTAGAGATCAGCGGTGCTAATGTCGGGAGCCTGACTCCGAGCGAGATCAGGGCACAAGTGGTCTGAGGTTGCTCGCTCGCTTGCTTGCTTCAACGAAACCCAATTAAAGGAGTTGTTCGGAGAGAGTCCAGGGACGAAGACGTGGGGGACCATTGTCTCTATTCTCCTTCCTCTTTCTCACTTTCCCTGCTTGGGACTGATCAATTTGGCGACACGACTGCCAGTTGCATGCGGAAATGCAGCTTACCTGCAATATTCCAGCTATTTCCAGCTTCTAGTTACGAGCATGGAGTCCCCCAAAAGGCTGGGCTACGAGCAACTGCCTGAACCTGTGCCGTTCAGGTTGGCCCTGTTCCTCTCTCCACAAGTACCCCAAACACGTCCTCAAGTTTCCGGTGCAGATTGAGTACAGAAGTCCTGCAGTATTCACAGTGCACTGACTGGTGTAAGGCCAGTTTGCCACTGTGCAAAAGATGCTGGGGCGAAGCCAAATCCTGGCCGCTGCACACGTCGGCACAACATCCGAAAATGCACGCCTTGCCCATCTTCTCTTCAAGGTCACCAGTTGGTGGGCCTGCAGCAGGAGACAGCAGGAGTGCGCAGCTAACCTCCGCAAACCAAACGACCCCAGCTTGCCGTTGGCGATCCAGAACTCAAAGCTTGAAGGAACAACTCTTCCAGTACGGTCCGACCTTCCCCTTCCTGGTCCTCAGCTGCATCCACCTCCTTCTGCTCAGCCACCTCCGAGACAGGAGCCACATCCTCTCCTGTCGTGCACCACCAGGGCACACCAAACAAAGACTTGCTTGTGCTGACGCAATTTACTCAACCCCCGTGCGCGGCTCCCGCAACCGTAACGTCAGAGCCCCAAACCCATTTGTTGAGCTGCCGGGCCGAGCGTGCTGATTCTAGAATGCCGGCGCAAACAAAAGCAACAAGATATGTGATCGCAAGCACCCAAACTTACTGTGTACAATGCATTGTGGCATGTCAAGCGCTGTCGCATCGGAACGGCCGGATCCTGCTCATCGACCACCAATGAAGCGAGGTCATGCCATGATATGCCATGCCCGTATCGCCGAGCTTTTTGGTCAAACCGCACAAGCAGTGCGAGAGCGCGCTACGGTCTTAAGGTCCTCCAGAACTTTCTGACCAATGTCATCATCATCATGACCACCACCGGTCATCATCATACTCATAGCAAGCACTGAGGGTTCGACTCTGCCTTGTTGCCACGTACAGTCGGCATGTCGTTGCAATCGTCAGAAGGCGACGATGCCGATTAGACCGAAGAGTGGGCTTTGCGACGGAAAATGCTTTGAAGGACTCTGGTAAAGTTTGGGCCTGAGGGCTGCAGGTGTATCCGGGCTGGCGTGGGATGTTGAGATTTAAAGCAGTGCTTGACACGACGACAGCACCCGCAAACGAGTTCATCCAAACAGGCAGGAGGGAACCTGTAAACCCGAAGATGAAATCGTGGGCTGGCACGATCTGGCAAGCCCAAGAACGTTACCAGCCTCCCTCGGTAGTGGCTAAGGAAATGCATCGGCAAGCGTTTACGCGTTGCTTCGAACATTGGTCTTGATTTCGCTGCTGTGGAATGCTGAAGCTTGCACTTCGCTAGCTACGAGTAGTATGTTCGGTTCTCGTCACCTGCTTTCGTGCTGTAGCAAGGGCCAGCGAATGCCGTAGTCAACCAGGAGCAGCAGCAGCATCATGAGGAGGACGAGGGGGAGGAGGAAGTGTAGCGAAGCGGAAGTCGTAACAGTAGGAGTCGGAGTAGAATGAGTAGAAGTATGATGGTAGCAGGCACCAGCACTACTGGTCATGTGTGGACGGTGTGGGTCCCAAGCAGCACACGCTTGTAGGGCTGCACCCTCACGGTCCCGAAAGGACGTTCCCCACCTCAACTCCCAACAGTCTAAAAATCCGGCAATCAGTCCTTCTCCTGTCATCTGTGCGTCTGCCTCCGCTTTCTCGGTAGCTGATTCAGAACGCTCGTCTTTGATCTCGGCCCCTTCATCTTTTTGGCCGGACTTTCCCATCAGAGGTCCTTGGCGTGAGAAAGGAATCAAAGGAACCCAAGCGATGCAACTACAGGGCTGCGATGGAATTCGCACTCTTGGACCTCTCCTGCTCCTGGTTCGTCTACGACTACCCTCTGATCAAGAGTGCCGCAGTTGGTTGGCACATGATGTTACATGACAGGGCCACTCAAGAAATTGCATTAATCATTCATGGCTTCAGGCTCCGAAAGCGTTCAATGCACCGGCGGCCACCCCGCCAGCAGGGCCCATTGAACCCAGCGCATCTTTCATCATGCCGTCCTTCCTTGGCTCTTGCCAGCCCGATGGCTGCAAATGCAACCTGCACACACCCAGGTCGCTGACAAAGATGCGGTCTCTCTCCAGCACCAACGCGGCCGTCACCAGTATGCTTGGAACCGCTGCCGCTGCTGCCCAACAGCATCCCCCCAACAGCACCAGCCAAGCCACCAAATGGGCCTCTGTAAATTTTAGCAGGTCACAGCTGCAGAATGCTTTCGCTGAAGGATCACACCAAAAACTCAACAAAAGACTGCAATGTAATTAATGGAGATCAATCCTCCACCACTCCCAGGCTTCTTTCCAACGCCGTTCTTGGCTCGCAACTGGTCCTCAAGCTGCTCCACCTTCGCAGTCACAGGGTCAGTTCAAGCTAGCCGTGTTCCCGTTCGGTCTCGTTGCCGCCTTCAGTCCCGACATGTTGTACACACCAGTGCCGTGGTAAGACAAGCACTGATACTTCTGACGATCACTTCAGGACATTCCACAACTGTCGGAACAACATACCGTACCATAAACGTAAACCAAAAAACTCCTCTAGCTACTTCTCTGCATGCTGGCCATGCAGTCAAAAAGCAGAACCTCAAATCTCCAGGATACAATTCCGGGTCTGTGCGCTCGCAGAGACTCAAGCAAAAAATACCACTGACACCAATGAAAATTTGGGAAAATGTTTATTGACTGCTTGTCCCTCAGACCTGGTGATACGTAATAAGCACTGGTGCTACAAGGGAACCTCCGAAGACTGGGTTCAACTGAGTACATCACCTGCGTCCGCTCCAGCTCGAAGGCAGTCGCCCTGGACCGGACAAGGGGTATCGGAAAAGGATCCTGGTTCCATGGCGAGACAAGCACGGACATGGTCTTCACCAGATAAGCTGGTAAGTTGCAAGTCGTGTCAAAAATCTGTCCTGTCATGTCCTGTCGTGAACTGCAGGCGTTGAAGTGCTTGGGCTGTTTCGTCACCCAATCAGATGTCGAATAGAAGCGGGACTGGAGACTGGTGATTCTGTGGGGGTCTCTTGCCTGGAGCATGTCTGAGCCGCGGCTGCGCAAGCACATGCGGAAACCAGTCTCGAGTCTGCGTTCGTGCCCAGCTGTAATCAGCTGTACATAGCATCATAATGAAACGCCCGATTACAACTTCAGCTGGAATACAAAAGGCAAGTGTCGTCGTACGCCGAAGCATGATGAGACATTTCTCTGAGTAGCACGAGTCCTCGTTGCCAGTGGACTGACGTTGCACGAATTGGCCGAAAAGCTTGCTCACTGTGTTGCTTAATCTTCAACTAGCCAATACGTGAAATGAAGTTCTTAGTCCGAAACTGTTCAAGGCCGCAGGCCCCACGGTGCCAAACTGGCTCCATCTGCAAATCTGCCTCCACAGCAACCCATCCTGCTTCAGCCAATTCCATGCCTGATGGGCATCGCCACTGCACGTGCTAGCACGAGCATGGTGAGCTCAAAAATTCCTCTACACGCCATGCCCGGAAACGCTGTGCACTATAAGTCCAGTCGAATCATCGAATCAACCTACCGCTTTACCCGCTGCACACAGATCTCCTGTCTCCTGTTGCTTGTAGTCGCAAGGTTAAACTCAACCAATAAACTCGTACGGCAAACAAGCATTGCAAGAAGGCCTGGCTTTCAACGCTGGCCAAATTGGTCATGCAGTTTGACTTCAAGTCTCTGCTGTTTAAATGACACCTCCTTTCCATTTCCGAGAAGTGTTGTAGCATGCCACCTGGCTCTTCAAACCAAGCGTGGCAACTCACGCATCACATCTGCCGCCAGGATCCAAGAGAAGGATTTATCAAGAAAGGATGGCCCCCCTGTGCTACAGCGACCTGGGGGCTGAGTTGTGATTTCAGTTCCATTCCCAGCTGGTGACGCAATGCAAACAACAAGGCTACCGAATTGTAATTCTTGCGACAGCCTCTCCCATGCTGCCATAAGACTTGGTGCGGTGTGGTGCCGGCACGGAACTACCCGCGATACTTCGACAGCAGGGGCTGCAACATCACAAGAGCTAGAAGCTGGAATCCGGAAAATTCGTTCTACCCACATGCACAGCATCGTTTCAGAGGGTTTCAATTGGATAATCGTTCTCGCGAGGTGTGAGCCTGTCGGCCTTGAATTGGGGGGGGGGGGGGGGGGNNGGGGGGGGGGGCGGCATTCCTTCTTCGCTGCATCCAGTGGGTCGAAGATATTGAATTCTGTGTAGCCACTGCTGGCAACGGATCAGCTGTTCCTGATGACCTCATCATGCTACACAGCCGCACAGGTGCTGTTGGATTTGACCAGACCGCTGCCGTTCCCGGTTCCCATATGCTTCTGTCACTGTGTCTGATAATCCGCTCGTTGTGTCAGCGTGCTGTTGCAATCACAAGCTCTCGGGCCTTGTGCTCAGCCACAGTGTCACGAGTCCACGATTCACTGATCCCGCACCTTCTGCTCGTGATGTCCAGCCTTGTGTACCGGACACCGATGACAGAACTCCAACTTCATATCTGCACATTCAGGGGCTGTCTCGCTGCAGGCATCGACTAAATCTAAGGGGGCTTTCGCAACCCGGGTTATGAATGGCAGCATGGATATTCTGCGAATGTCGGGGGATGTCCGAGGACAGGGCCGAGCAGTACATGGCCTCGTGCAGCCTCGCCTTTCGATAGACGCGGAGATTTCACAAACAAATATCATGAAATGAACCGTGAACTGGACGGCGGATTTCGGCGCTTCCGGCCATGCCTGCAGTTCCTCTTTGGAGGTGTATGGCGGCAGGTACAGCCTCGTTTTTGAGAGGCCGGCAAGCAGAGTCTATAAACTTCTCGCGAGGTGCTTGGCGCCATGCTGATTGGCACATGCTCGTGAACGGGGAAAGGCTTGCCGTGAGGCCTGACATGGATACATATGGATACACAAGCGCTTAGTCTGGCAGCGCACACGAAGTACAAGCGGCTTGTTTACCAAGTGTGATTCGGAAACTGATGCTTTCAAAGGCCCTGGCGCTGGTATCGGGGAAAACGTCCACGTGGAACTTTGCAATGCCGCCTCGGGCATGACACGGCGCATGTGTACAGTACTGAGAACGCCTCCAGTAGCAAGATCGCAATGCACGCTCTCGTTGTGGAATGTCGATGTAGGGGGAGGTGATTACGGTCGAGCTCCAAGCGCTTTCGTAGGATTTCACCGGCCCCCTAAGCAAAGGCCACACTTCACCCGCAAAACCTTCTGCACCCAACTGTAATTCTCCCACCTGTCTGCAGAAAAGGCATTTCACAAGAAAAAGGCAGAGATCAAGCGCAGGAGTGCGAGGTCTTTGCACAGGTTGGCGGTTCGTGTTTGCGTTTTGCTGTTGGCATCTGTAGGCGGAGTGACTTGTACGCCGGAAAAACAACAGAGATCGCCGCAAGTCAAAGACGTACTGTAGTTCCTGAAGCCCCCCAAACTGAACATAAAGGGAACTTCCAAGACCCCCAGGTGACCAGCCGTTTTGCCCTTGCAGACTTGTGTCGCAGTCTCTCCAATGCAAAGCGCACACTTGCACATCTCCTCTAGCTGTTCGCGGGACTTGGACCTGTCCACCCGCGAAGCTGAATGAACGGGCTTGGCTGTTTTTTCTCCGCCTGTTTTGGGTTTCTGTCCAGGCTGGTTCTCTCTTTAGATCTTTTTCTGACCTGCCTGCCCTGTCTGGGGTCTCTTTAACCCCTGGTTGTCGCGTTGTTTTTTTTCCGACCTGCCTGCCCCTGTTTGGAGTCTATGTCCCCTGTGGTTGTCGCTTTGGGTCTCTTGCTCGGGCCATTCGTTTACGCGATGTTGGGGAAAACTTTGGCACTGCTCCATCAGGGTTTTCTTCCCCCGCCTCCCTTGGTTGCTGTGCGGCCTCTTGGGGTCCCGCTTCCACCCGTCGTGTATCTTTGGCTGCACATGCGCCGCGACCTCCTTGTTCCGGTGCCTGCAACCCTGATACAAAACCGTCGAGCTGTTTTGTCCTGCCTCCTTGGCAAGGTCTCCCCTTCCACCCCCGTTCCCCTGAAAAAAGGCCATCCACTCCCCCGGCAGGGTTTCTATGGGTTTCTACTGCTTCGTCTTTATCCGGTTTCCTGGGTCTTGGGTGTTGTTCGGGGGCCACAAACACCTGCAGGAAAATTGAGAACCCAGCCCTCAATAAACACGACTAGATACGTCGACGAGCTGGCGGGAACCCGGTGGGCTCCGGGAATACAGCAGAATAGAATAGACGTGCAAGAACACGTCCGTGGTTAATCAGTGGCACTGTGGTGCCTGGAGGAAGGCGAGGACATGAGGAAACAAAGTCCAAGAATCTGGACCTGGCAGGCAAAACTGCCATTGCCAAGCTGGCTTTACAGCATCACCATCAGCCCCGCTTGGGTGATGCGCTCTCACAGAGCTCATAAGCTCTCAGCCAAGAATCCTAGAATTCAGTGGCCATCATGAAGCTTCTCGTTGAAGGCACTCAGACTCCTCTCACAGCTCATGGTAGGGACCAGCCTGTCTGCCTGGTTCAACTCCAAGAGGACGGCCTCAACAAATCAATATCATCGGATCGGATGTGGCCCTGCTTTCTAGAGTTGCCTCCCTACGAATCTTCTTCGACATGGATGCGAGCGAAATACAACCTTTCCCTGGAAGACTGCATGCACTTTGCTTTGAAAGCTTGCTTGTCTTTGTTCGTGCGACCCTGTTCGGGCCGGCAAGTTACAAAGCATCCGAGCATCTGGGTCCACGGCCACTAGGAATCGGTAAGCTGGTGACTTGTCGTTCAACCCGCCCGTTGGGTGGATGTGGTTGAGCCTGGCGAGCAACACCGCCGAGCGGCACCAAATCTGAAGGAACAAAAAAACAGGGCAGCAGGGCAGCGCTTGCTCATCCCAGTCAATTCTGTCCTCACCGCCTCTCCAAAAGCATGCGAAAGAAGATCAGCACAAGCACCGTTTACTTGAAGGTTGACTTCCAGGATCGACCGTCTGCAGCAGCGACTGCTCTGAGCCCGGAGCAGAACATCTCTCGAAGTTCTGATCGTGCAAACGCCTTGCAGGAATCGATGCAAGCTTAAAAAGATGCGGCTGCACGACACGGCCCTGACAAAAGCCAGGTGCCTGCAGGCATGCAAAGGGGAAGACGTCGTTCAAACCGGAACGGAAGGCGTCCACCTTCCAACTGGTGTAAGTGGAGCGGCAAGCGAATTCCAAGAAAAAGCTAACAGCGCCTGATCCTTCACACCTGCATCAAACCAAAAGTGGGTGGCCTGTCACAAGTCGCGGGTGTCTGTCTACACTGGTTTGGAACTCACGAGATGTCTAACCAAACGGATCACAGCACTGCCTGTTCGACGAAGGCGGCCACCTTGCGCGAAAACACTTCGTCGCATATATACCTGTATGCAAGATAATTAAGCTGGACTGAAATACCGGGATGTCGACATTGTCCGCTGTGACGAGGATGTTATCCCCATCTGGACACAGGGCTGCACCACCTCAGCTCTGAACTCACTGCAAAACTCTTCTCCAGCCATGGCCCATGTCATGCTCGGTGAAAGAGGCCGGGTGCGGTGCTCAGGCCGGTTTCCAAGAAACAAACTCCAGCCAAGCTGGTGTACTCGTTGAAGGACATTGGCCTAGGCCATCAGCAAGGCATGGCAATTCACCGACTTGGGCCCTGAGAGTTGATGCAAGGCTGAGACTCTTGTGTCGGAGTCATATCCGGTCGGTCACTGGGCGAGAGGAAGCGTTCAGCGAAGTCCTTGCGATCAGCCTTGCAGTGGCTGCTAGGGCTGCTGTCGTGGAGGAAGCTCCAGCTTTTGATCAGCCAACACCAACAAGCCTAGCTTGGAGTTGAACCGGGTATTGACATACATGTCCGATGCTTCCCACAAACCTGATGTTTGCACGACACTTGTCACTGCACTGCACTCCGCACGCCTGGGCTTTCTTCCATGCTTGGATCTGCTCCGGAGAGCTACCGCGATCCTTCTGAGATGCCTGGCGACTGCCACTAGCAAAGTACATGCAACGCAGGAACCGGACCCGAAACCCAACGTTGCTTTGCTGCCGCAGCGGCACAGACAGCTTGAATTTGTGAGCCTCACCCCATTAGGCAAAGTTAGCAGTGCCGTTGGGCAGCCCTGCACTTCAAGCTGTCAGTGCGAGCTCGTTCATGTTCATTCTGAACCACTGAGTTTTCACTATCACAAGTGCTCCAGAAGAATGTAAATAGGACATCAGCAAATGCCGGGTTTTGTAAGACTAACAAGACTGGTTGCAACTTGTTGCCAGGTGGCTTCGGCCAAACTCTCCCTGCACATTCCAGTGAAAACTGAGTTCGGAGTTGCGGACCATCTGAAGCAGGACGAGTTTGGTGAGAGCACACCCTGCTTTCAAACTTTCGATTTAGTTGGCAGACAGCTGCGAATGTCAAGCGCAACCTTGGAACGCCTCTTCAGATTGATTCGAAACTGCCATACATATTTGGACGTTTTTTTTTTCGGAACTGTCCAAACATGCCCTGCTTTCGGGTTCCAATCTCCGATGCCTGCCATTTCTTCAATGCTCCAAATAAAGCTTCTTTGTTGCAGCACAGCGATGTGAGAGTTTCATGGTTGTCATGCCTGAGGCATCGATTTTCAACAGCTCTGTGCCGTCCACTGCTGTACAAGAATTTAGCTGTCGTTGCATAGGACAGGGAGCTACCACATCCAGCCATCGCCTTTATTCGCAGTCGAAAGTCTGCCAACAATCTAGAATCACTGAACTGCCCAAAACAAGTACCTGGGCAGTGGATGCGTTGGTACACATGAACGTTGACGATGGCAATGCATGAAAGCCTTGACCTTGGACATTAGATGGTGGAACACAGAGGTTGGAAAACCACGAAACGATAAAGGCGCTGAAACTCTGAAACTTTGCACCCTCGTGTCGTGACTCCGTTTGATGTTCTGTGACACAGGCTGCACATCCGTTTCTCCGACAGACACGGCCTCTCCAGCCTTCAAGTCTTCGGCGAAATCCGCGAGTGCGCCCAGCAGCCTGTGACAGCATACTCAGCTGTGTTATGTCGACGGCTGCGTTCGTTCCGCCGTGGCAATATAGCTCGAACCAAGGCTGCAGCTCACCGGCAACACCGTTGCCAGGTCTGGGCAGACTGTCTGGCCCGAGCCTCGTCTGCATTCGAAGCAAAACTCACGAGTAGCAACAATGTAGGAGAGCAACGTCGCAGGATGTCAGGATGACGACATGTCTCCGTGAGTTTAGTATTCTATGTATTCTGCCCTTTGAAACTGCGGCTGGGTCACACTCCTGTATTGTACTAGCCACTTCGCAAGGTTTACCCACTAAACACGAGGTCATGCACAAAAAGTCTCGCCCCCCAATACAGCCTGAAAAATCAGTCGGCTAGATGCACACGCCTAGTTCCGAGGACGATGTGAAAAGAAGGATAAAGCGCTTGGTATGGTGGCCCTCGCGTATAGCTGGGCACGAACAGGTAAATGCCTGTGAAGCTCATCGAAGTACAGTACCCCTGCGTTCGCGGCCTGTGACAAGCGAGACGGCAACCAGCCACCAAACAACGGAACCCATGCGGTAAATTTATCTAACAAAATTTGATATCATACCCATATAGTATATCAACAATGTATGACAAGATGTATATATATATATAATATAATATTATATATATATATACATATATATATATATCAACAAAAGGTCCGAAAGCTTTTTAGGGTCTATTAAAGCTTGCTTTTATATTCAGTATAAAAATATTTCAACTAGGTTAAATAGGAGGTGATTTGAATTGTGCAAATTATTCAAAAAAATTGAAACATGTTAATAATTAAACTATTTAAATAGAGCGGAAGTAATTTAGTTCAATTACAAGGTGGAGGAGGAAGGAAAAGGAGCTGATTTCATTTTTCATAATTATTAAAACTGTGAAGCATCCGAATATAGTTTGAATAATTTAAATCAACCCCCTCCCCTTCCTCCTACGCCCTATTTAAGACAATTCAAACACTGAAAAAACAAGCGGATTTGAGTTAAGTGAACTAATATAAACCCGTCAAAATTTAACCAATTTAAGTCGAACGGAATTACATTGTTTAATCTATATAAACTGTTTGAAGTATTTTAAATGGGATGGAGAACGACGGGAAGGGAGCTGATGTAATTGTGTAAATCATGTGAACTGTGAAGCATCCGAAAATAATCTAAATCAAACCCCTACCCTTCCTCCTCCACCTTTTCTGAAATACATTAAATAATGTAAATGATTTCATCCGAGGTGATCTAAATTATTTAGCATATGTAAATTAATTTGAATCCGCAAACAATTGTAAATCGAGCGGATTCAAATTATTTCAACTATGTTAAATACAATGGAATAGGGAGGGAACGGAGCTGATTTGTAAAATCAGTAATCTAAATCAACCCCCTCCCCTTCCTCCTCCACCCTATTTAAAATACATTAAAGCGAGCGGGTTCGAACTCTTTAAATTATTTTAACTCCGAAAAATAGTGTCGGCGGTGGTGGGGCGCTAATCCGTCTGTTCCAGTTCCACCGCCTTGTGCGTCACCTGCTCCACTCATTCCTGTCCTCAACAGCGCGAGTGGCGAGGGGCGGCAATGGCACGAGTGGCGCGAGTGGCACGAATGGTGCGAGTGGCTCGGGCGTTTTCAATTCTTCGCGCCCCTCCTTTGTGCAGTCGCGCTGTTCTGGGGGTGCCAGTGAATCAATGTTCCAATCGTTCCACTCGCTCCGTTTGCCGTGTGCCTTACCTGTCCCGCTCGTTCCTGTTGCCTAGCAGTGGTGCGCGTGACGCCACTCGTTCCACTCGCCCTGTACGTTACCTGCTCCACTCATTCCTTTCGTCTACAGCGCGAGTGGCGAGCGGCGTGAGTCGCGCAAGTGATGCGAGTGGCGTGGACTACTTCAATTCCTCGCCCGCCTCCCTTACGCAGTCGCACTGTTCTGGGGGTGCCAATGAATCAATGTTCCAATCGGTCCACTCGCCTTGTGCCTTACCTGTTCCACTCATTCCGGTTGCCTAGCTCTGGCGTGAGTGGCACGCGTGGGCGAGTGGCGTGGACGACTTAACATTCCCCCCCCCCGTTCGGTAGCAATGAAAATATCTAAATTATTTAAATCAGTTTAAATGGGGTGGAGGAGGAAGGGAAGGGAGCTGATTTGAATTATTCAGTTTATCTACAATGCAGTATCCGACAATAACTTAAATAAGTCGAATTTCTTTAAACCACCCTCCCCACCCTCCTCCACCTTAGTCTGAAATAAGTTAAGTATCTTAAATAATTCAAACCGAGGTTATATATTGTGTTTTAACTTTTTTCACTCCGAAAAGACTTTAAATAAGTTACATCGAGCGGATTTAACATTGTCTAAATTGTTTTAAATAGGGTGGAGGAGGAAGGGAAGGGAGCTGATGTCTGATGTAGAGAATTTGTACCTCTTATTTTAAATTTTAAACGGGATGGCTGAGGCTCGAGAAGCCCTTACTTAGCCTTAGCCCTGCCACCCAACCCCACCCACACCCTTCCCCACCAATCAGCCTCACCAAGCCCCCACAAACCCACCGCCCCGCCCCGCCCCGCCCCGCC